GTGACCAGTCTGACTTCAGTTGCTTTTCTCAACTGCTGCACTATATACTATGGTCTCTTTTAACCACTACCTGCAGTGGTTAAAAGTCACATTTTTTTTTCATACCTTGGATGATTAAATCTACCTCTATAATTTTTCTGGACCTCAAACCTTTTTTCCTTCCAATTGGACTTAATAAGCCTAATAAGCCTCAGTAAGACATTCAGTAAGCCTAAATCAAACTCATGGTCTTTATCCTTCCTTCCTTTTTCCTGGCCTGAGTTACCAACTTGAATTAATAACTCAATGTTATTAATAGCATCTACTCAATGTTAGCACATCTCAGTCATCCTTGACCATTTCTTTATCACCCAGTATGGTTTTGAATCTCAACTTCTTAGGCCCATGAATCTCTCTGGGGTTTTGTTTTTTGCTTCCTTGCTTGCTTTGACCCCCATGTGACTGACGAAAGGCACACACCACCACACCCATCCTTTTGGTTGATATTCCATCGTCTACTTTTCCCCCTGGCCTGATGGAGACTAGCAAACTTTTCTGTCCAAGCTGGCCTCAAACTCTGATACTCCAAATCTCAGTCTCCTGAGGTAGGGTTACAGACATGAGTCAGGTGTCCTATTTAAATTGGTTTATTTTTAAAGATTGATATGTTATTTTTAAATGTGCTGGGAATATTCTTTATAAGAATCTTAATTGAAAAATTATATGTAAACAAATGTATAAAGTTCTGTCTAGTTTTTTTTTTCAAAATGTCTGTAGGAGTCTGCAGGTAGAAAATTTGGTTAGCACTAGTGTATATTTTCAAAGTCAGAAAGACACTTTTAATGATATAGCCTGGCCCTATACTTGAAATAAATTTATTAAATCATCCCAGAGACTTTTAACTCTCCAAATATATATGATTGACTTTTAAAATACTAATTATATATAGACACATCTTTCATCTCTCACTCCAGTAGTAAAATACTTCATGACAAGGATTTGATTTCAAGTTTACACTAATTTTAGACATTCACTTTGGATACCTGCAATAGGTTTGTATAGGTTCTCACAGGAGATATTTCAAAGAAAGTATGGAAGAAAAGGAAGCATCAGATTATTTTCTGTTTACCCAGACCAAGGTTTTAAAAACATGAACTGAGCTGGATGCTGGTGGCTCACACTTATAATCCTAGCTACTCAGGAGACTGAGATCTGAATCAGCATTCAAAGCCAGCCCTGGCAGAAAAGTACCCACGAGACTGTTATCTCCAGTAAACTAAAAACAGCCACAAGTGGTGCTGTGGCTAAAGTGGTAGAGCACTAACCTTCAGCACAAAGAGGCCCAGAGACAGCACCTAGGCCCTGAGTTTAAATACAACTGATGTTGTATTTTTTGAACATTAAAAGTTTGGGTTTCATTAATATAAAAATAATCATTTCTTCAAGTTGGTATGTTTTTTCTTAAAGTATACCTTGACAGTCTGCATGATTTTTACCCTGGCAGAGTATTCTAGTCTCTGGATGTTCTGTATTTATTTTGACCTGTTAGTGAGCATGTGGTATGCCTATTTATTGCTAAACATTTTGCTATTCAGTGTAATTCTTTCATACTTTCTTTATACACTAGTGCCTCTGTTTGAAGGCTCATTATTGGAATACTTGTGTCAAAGAAAACTTACACATATAACTTTTGTATATATGCCCTTTTGTATAACGTGTGTGTGTGTGTGTGTGTGTGTGTGTGTGTATCCCTCTAAAAAAGTAGGATGGCTCAAACCTGTAATCTTAACTACTCAAGAGCTAGAAATCAGGAAATCAAGTTTTGAGGTCAGCCTGGGAAAAAAGTGTTGGAGACCTCCCTCTTGAGATTTTTATTGGTCCACTAATAAATGTGGCAGTGCACATATCATTCTAGCTATGGGAAGCATAAATAGTCCAGGCTATCCCGAGCATAAACTTGAGATCTTATCTCAAAGATAACCAGAGGAAAAATGCTGGGAGCATGGCTCAGGTAGTAAAGTGCCTCCTTAACATCTAAAGACCATGAGTTCAAAACGTAAAAGAAAAAGCTGAACTAACAAACAGTGCCATTTCCCTACACAACAGCAGTCTGTTATCATCATAATTTTCCTATTAAAATTGAATTACTCCCCCCTAGTTTTCCTCAATGTCCTTAAACTACTCTATTCTTCTATAGCACTTACCTGTTCTTCTATAGCACTTACCTGTTAGTATTCTGTTGTTTCTCTCCCTTTGCTCTCAGGCTGTAAGCACTAACAGGCAAAAATTTTGTTGTATATGTTGTTCACTGATGAACAGTGTCTGGTACATAAGCACTAATTTATTTAGCGAATGCCCAAAAGCAGTGGTATGATACATACGAGTTTCAGTAATGGCCAGTTATGTTTTCCTTTAACCCATTCTCTCCCTGGTGTGTTGCTCTGTGTGTGTGTGTGTGTGTGTGTGTGCGTGTGTGTGTGTGTGTGTAAATATGCTAGTCTGTATGTGTAGCACCTGAGCATTAAGTAATCTCAGGAGCAACCACAACTTATTAGATACACCATACAAAACACCCATGAAAGAAAAAAATGCTTCCTACTCTGGACTATGAGAGCAGTTAATTATCAGGACAGTGCAGCCCAGCCAGAGCTTGTCATCCAACCACTACCTTGCTTATTTTAGCCCTGCCCTTCCTGTTTCTCTCCTGCCAGTGCCTAAGGGAGCCTAGAAACAAGAGTCATCTCTAGTAAAGCAGAAACCACCTAAGTAAGAGCACTGAATATTATCCACACCAAGTCCAACCCACTCCTTACCACCAGTTCTTTGGCCCCACACCCTTTCCACTAACAATGGCAGCTTAGTCAGAGAACTGAGGTTTGGTAGAGCACCAAGTTTCATTGTTTTCCCCAGGCCAGTTTTAGATGTGAAAGAGCTATAGACTAAGCAAAACTAAAGGATAGTGATTTAATCATTAGTAGCTAGAATTACAGCTAGTATGTATTTGTTTGCCCACCATTTTAGCATTTTGGTCATACATTTAATGCTTCATCTTTATCAACACCTGTAATATCATCCTCCTTTTTAGTGGCATGTCAAATATGTACCAAACACAGGCTTTATGTTATTTTGATGTTATTAATGACTAGGTGATGGTTTTTGATAGTTACATCCAGAATTAGGAATCTGCAATGTTAAAGCATTTAACTTAACCTGGAAAAAAAAATGTTCTTGATCATGAGGTATCACCACCAAATCCAAGTAGCAAGAAAAAAATTAATAATGTGTGCCAGTAATCCTAGCCACTTGAGAGGTAGAGATGGGGAATTGTGATTTAAGGCCAGCTTGCGCATGAAATTTCACAGCACTCTCAACCAGTGGGTGGATATGGTGATTCATGCCTGTTATTCCAGCTGCAGGGAGGCACAGTGGCTAGGTGCAGTGATGTGCACCTGTGCACCCAGCAACCTGAGGAAGCACAGGCCTGCTGAGCATAAATAACCAAAGGAAAGAGTGTTTAACATGTGCCTCAAGTGGTAGAACATCTGCCTAGTAAGCACAAAGCTCTGAGTTCAATCCTCATTATTACCCCCCCCCAAAAAAAGGGATTGAAGCTACTGTGCATATTTTAAAGAAATTACAGAAAGCATTTACCTTACATTCCACGCAGTGGTAAGTTGCTTTATTCTTGGTTCATACCCTACTTCATCTTCTCTCCCTGATAGCAGTACACAGGTACTGTGTATTGGATGACAGGAGCTCTGGAAAGCAGATAGAGGTTCCTCAGGAGCTTGGACATTCCAGAAAAGGAAAAAGCTTGGAGAGTAGGAAGCTTTTATTAGGAATGTCAGAGTAGTGGAACAAGAATGACAAAGACCGGAAGCTGCTTCACTTGATTATAATTAACTTTCTGTGGGTGGAAAAGGCAGGCACCAAGCCAGCACCACCATTTTATAAATAATAAATCTTTTATGATGGTGATGTTGTGAAAGACAGCGTAAAGTTGCATCAGTGTGCTGAACCATTACTAAATGGGTGGGATGCCTGGAAAAGCATGTGTTTAAAAAGGGCTCAATCATTCTACAACCTGGACCAGATGCACCTCAAACATACAGCAATAACCTGGGATGTAACACTTAGCACAAATGTCACTAAGCCAAAGATCGCATGTATGCTTGGATACTAGTGACAGCCAGGCATGATGGCTCATTCCTGTAATCCTAGCTGCTCAGGAGGGTAAGATCTGAGGATTAAGGTTCAAAGCCAGCCTGGACAAGAAAGTCCACTGAGACTCTTCTCCAGATAACCACCAGAAAACTGGAAGTGGCCTTGTGGGTCAAAGTGGTAGAGCCATTAGTATTGAGCGTAAGAGTTCAGGGACTGAGTGCAAGCTCCAAGACCAAATAAAGATACTAAGACAAAAGTGTACACTGTGTATCTCTCTTATTAAAGGGAAAATATGAATTTTTTTTCAAATGTCAATCTGTCTTTTTGTATCAGTTCCTCAGATTGTAGCAGTGTGATCCTTAGGACAAATTTTATTATAGCAATAGTATCAAAAGTAGAAAGTTACTGAGGAAGTTACTAAGTAGAAATGTTAGATACTTGCTTACTATCTCTTCCTTCTCCTAGATGCCAAACTCACTTCACTTTTCAACTGCTGTTCATTTATTATGTTACCTTTCAGGGGAGATGTTATCAGTGAATATGTCCCTAAAAATCTCAAGGTCTACTAGTTTTTTTCATGCAAGGGAAATAATTTGGAATACTGTCTTCCAATTAATACCACCACCAGTTAATAAAAACTGTTTTAAGAAAATCCGGTAAGCTCTATATGCTTATTTGAACTGTCAGTCTTGTTTTCATTTAAAAAAATATATAGGAAACTAATGGGAAAATTATGCAGACAAGGTAGTATACTTTCTATAGGAATTGTGATTTTACTTCTTAAACCACAATGAAAGTGTCTGTTAACATGCTTTTGGAATTTTTTAATAGTATTAATAAATGATTTATCATTGAAGGAAAGAGTTACTGTATCCAACGGCCCAGATATGGCAGAAGTGAAGTCAATGTTCCGAGAAGTTCTTCCAAAACAAGGTATGTACATTAAATACTTATAGAGACCCACAGAGTGCTAGGCAGCATCAGTAACTAACCATTGGCCGGTATTGTGTCATGTATTTCTCATCTCATTTGTTGTCTACCTTTACTATATACTTTTGTCAGTTGTGGGACTTGAACTCTGGATTTGGGTGCTGTACCAGTATTCTTCAGCTCAAGGTTAGCACTCTACTACTTGAACCACGGCACTATTTCCAGTTTTCTGGTGGTTAATTGGAGATAGTCTCATGGACTTCTCCTGCCCGGGTTGGTTTGAACCACAATCCTCAAATCTCAGCCTCCTGAGTACCTAGGATTACAGTCATGAGCCACCAACACCCAGCCTATATATTCTTTTCACATGTAGACTGTAAAAGGGGCCTCCTTTTTCTAGTAGAACAAATGAAGCATTATTGCCTAATAACTGTTATAACTGTTATATTGCAGATTATGATATGGGATTTTTGAATGAAACATTCACAGTAATGTCTGACGGTGAGGGAAAAATGTCCTAACTCAAAAGTTAAGAAAAACTAAGTAAATCTTCAGTAATTTAGATACTCATATGTAAACTCATATATTTTAGAATGTTTAATAAAATCTTATTTATAATTACTTTAAGAGTCTTACACAATTCAAAAATTTATCTTCCTTAAAACCTCAATTTATTTCTTTGTGTATAGGTTCTGGGGCCTTGCTCGGGACCTGAGTACTATCCCTGAGCTTGTGTGTTCAAGGCTAGCACTCATCACTTGAGTCACAGCTCTACTTCCAGCTTTTTGTTGGTTAACTGAGCATCTCATGGACTTTCTAGCTCAGACTGGCTTCAAACCATAATCCTCAGATCTTAGCCTCCTGAGTAGCTACCAGTACCCAGTGAAAGCCTTATTTTCTTAGGATGAAATAAGTACCTTCTTTTGCTGGTTCAAAGCAAAACACAGTCTAGAAACAAGAATTTTTCATTTACAATAACTTAACTATTTAGACCTGTATTCTAGCTGTTAGCCCAAACAACTGGGCTATTTTCCTCTAATTATTATTTCTTATTTAACATAGGGCAGTTGTCTGTGGAAGATGTAACCACAATGGTGCTGTGTAAACCCAGGATTTTACCCTTGAAATCTCTGACTCTGGAAAAACTGGAGAAAATGCAGCAAGCAGCACAAGATACAATTCGCAAACAAGAAATGGCAGAAAAGGAACAACGGCAAATAACCCACTGACCAATAACCTAGCACTCTAGAGAAGATACTCCCTTTCAAATTACTTAATAACAAAAATATTCTACATCTCTATGCTGAAAATAGTATTTGCTAATAAAACTGAATATTCCTTTAAGTAAAAATAAAGATCGGAGACACTTGTTAAACACTAGTATGTAGTAAATACAAACTTGGGACATTTCATGAGATTTCTCTTTTACTCCAGCCAAGTTTTTATATTTTAAATTACCACTTACCATTCCTAGCAATTTTGCATAGTAAGTGACTAAAGGTAACTTTTATATAGAAAGGGTCTTTACATATTTCTTTAAAAACCTGAATTTTAAGGTACATTTTAACATGCATAGTTATGTTGGGCTTTCAAATTACCTAATAAAAATCAAAATCATTTTTAATCATTTTTGTGTTCCATGTCATGTTTCATGCTATATAGCCTGGCTAGTAATGATCCTATCAGTAATGACAAAACTGGCTTCTTAAATGGTATTTTTCAGAAATCTTCACCTATTCTACACTCACCTAAAGTTTTGCATGTTTGTGCACTAATACTGGGACTTGTCAGAGCCTTGTACTCTTGCTTAGCTTTTTCCACTCAAGGCTAGTACTCTACCATTGAGCCACATGTCCAGTTTTTTGCTGGTTAGAGGTAAATATCTGTTGGATTTATCTGCCTGAGCTAGTTTTGAACCCAGAGCCTCATATATTAGCATCCTGAGTAGCTGGGTTTCCAAGTATAAGCCACTAGCACCTAGCTTGAACTAAGCTTTCAAGTATATTAATTTTAAGACTAAAGAATTACATCATTATAATCTAGGTACCAAACACAACTTAATAACCTGAAAATGTTTATTATAATTATCTTCAGTAAGCTTCAGTAATACAGACTTGAAAAGAGCTCATGAAGCAAATTTAACTTTTAATTCTGCAAGTCTGTAAGACAGTACCTAAATCTGTAATAGGTACATTCCTAAGATTGACCTTTATAAACTGAATGTAATTCTTGTAGCAATCAATAGGCAGTTTAAATAACCACAGACCTGGAAGCCTTGCTGAATAAATAGGCTCTATAAAGAGTTTAGAAATGTGCTCATTAAATTCAAACCCAAGGCTGTATGTATGCCAGACAAGATATCTAGGAATTTTTCACCTAAAATAAATATACTTCCAATAAAGAATCAACGATGCTTCACATGTTTTATTGTGTGTTGTACATTCTTGTAGAACCAGGTTCATTTTTCCAGTTTTGTAGAAAAATAGATGTTCCAGCCACCATTTACTTAACTGTCTAGTCTTTTAAGACCAAACAATATGTTCCCTGGAAAGATGAATAAGTCTCATGACTAAATCATTTTTTAAAAATTCTTTAAGACAAAAAAAAGACCTTTTTTTTTTACTCCCAAAGCACAGTATTCAGCAGCAGCAGCCAACACGGGGTTCTAGCAGCTTAACTTTACCCCCTAAATAAAGCTTTGTATAAACCAGTGATTTTACTACAAAAAACACTGTCCTTGAAAGAAAGAAGTGGCAGTCAAGACATCAATGCAAAACTTGGAATGATTAGGTCATAAACATGGCACTTAGAAAAGATAGCTTATTAGAATATTCCACTTAAGAAGTGGTTACTTTTTTGTCCATCCTTTATCCCCTCAAAAACAAAGAAAAAAGAAAACACTTCTTTTAAAAATTCCCCTTAAATGAAGTTTATAAAATTTCACAAATGCTTTGTACCCAAAACAAGTGCTTAAAAAAAACTGTGCTAACAACTCTTACAATTCAGATATATATTTGTATAACATCTAAGACCGCAAGAGTTCTTATATTCAGTAGCTCTCTGGTTTAAGACGACCACCATCTCCTTCACTTACAAAACGCTTTCTGCCCCTGAAATTAAAAGAACAAAAACATTTTTTTAAATAGAAATTATAACTTACTGGCAATGAAAAAAATTATATTTTTTCTGGTTATACATTAAGATTTAAAGGGCTTAATTACTGTCTTAAAAAATATTTTAACAAAGACTGTTAGCCCTGCAACAATTTTGTTTTAGAAAACAAATCCAGTTGGGGGTGGCTCATGTCTGTACTCCTAGCAATCAGAAGGATCTCTGAGACTGAGGACTGCGGGTCAAAGACAGCTTGGGCAGGGAAGTCCATGAAACATCTCCAATTAACCACCAAAAAGTAAGAAGTGGAGATATAGCTCAAATGGTAGAGCGCCAGCCGTAAGCAATTAAAAAAAAACAGCACCGCTAGGCCCTGAATTCAAGCCCCAGTACTGGCACCAAAAAAAAAAAAAAAAAATATATATATATATATATATATATTCAACAACAACCTTTTTATTTTTTTAACAGCTTAATTACTAAAATAAGTTAATTAGCTAAGTATTAAAATAGAAAACTAAGCCGGGCGCTGGTGGCTCATGCCTATAATCCTAGCTACTCAGGAGGCTGAGATCTGAGGATCACGGTTCAAAGCCAGCCCGGGCAAGAGAGACCGTGAGACTCCTATCTCCAATAAGCCACCAGAAAACCGGAAGTGGCGCTGTAGATCAAGTGTAGAGCGCTCGCCTTGAGCTGTAGAGCTGAGGGACAGCGCCCAGGCCCAGAGTTCAAGCCCCACGACCGACAAAAAATAAATAAATAAAATAGAAAACTAAGATATTTAGAACATATTTATGCCTACCATAATACTATTTGGAAGCTAAACACTAAGCCAAATATGAAACAATATGATTGAGAATTACACACAACTATAGAAGTAGTAACAATTTTTAAACTTTTCGCAGCTACAGAAAAGCCATAATCTGAAAAGGTGGAATGGTAGAAATCTTTCCAACTATATCATCCAGTATTTTATATTGAGAAAGTAGTATTTAAATAAAGTACCGTGAGGGACAAAGATCTCTGAGTTGTTTGGAAATTATTCCAGCCTGAAAACATTCTTCTACAAATCTCTCAAGCACAGAGTATGAATGTGGAACATCCAAATTAATGTCTGGAATTTCATTGTAAATTCTCTCATAACCCTAAAACAAAATTTTACACAGAATTGTTAGCCCATAAAGTACATACAACAAAACAATTCAACACTTACCAATGTATTTTTTCAACCTTGAAAAGTAAATGGAAGTACCTTTTGTTTCAGAATATTTTCTGTAAAACTGTTCTCCAAACAGCTGTCCACAAGCTTGAGACAGCAAATTCTTATCTACTTCTCTAGCTACATTTAACTACACTTTTTTTGGGGGGAGGGGTCGGAGGGGGTATGGTCATGGGGCCTGAACTCTGGGCCTGGGCGCTGTCCCTCAGCTCTTCAGCTCAAGGCTAGCACTCTACCACTTGAGCCATAGCACCACTTCCGGCTTTTTTCTTTTTGCTTATGTGGTGCTGAGGAACCGAACCCAGGGCCTCATGCATGCAAAGCAAGCGCTCTACCACTGAGCCACCTTCCCAGCCTGACATTTAACTACTTTTAAGAAAAAAGATAACTTCACCAGAATTTCAACAACACAATTTTAAATAGGGAAAAAAAAGTATTGTTTGGTAAAAGTTTGTGTTAGATATAAAATAAAAATGATCAATATCAAGAATCCTTGGGCTAGAACACACAATCATATTTTAATAAAACAGGCAAAAGTCCATTGAGGGCTGAGAAGGTGGCTCAGTGGTAGAGCGCTTGCCTTGCATGCATGAATCCCTGGGTTTGATTCCTCAGCACCACGTAAGCAAAAAGAAAAAAGCCGAAGTGGCGCTGTGGCTAGCCTAGAGCTGAAGAGCTGAGGGACAGAACCCATGCCCAGAGTTCAGGTCCCACAACTGGACCCCAAAAAAAAAAAAAAAAGCACTGACATGATTTTTTTACTTTCTAAGAAATGAGTGCACAAGTTACTAAGAAATGAGTGCAAGTTTTAAACAAAACATATTGTCAGGCTGAGAATGTGGCTTAGTGGTAGAGTGCTTGCCTAGCATGCATCGAAGCCCTGGGTTCGATTCCTCAGTACCACATACGCAGAAGAAGCCGGAAGTGGTGCTGTGGTTCAAGAGGTAGAATGCTAGCCTTGAGCAAAAAGAAGCTTGGGGACAGTGCCCAGGGCCCGAGTTTAAGCCCCAAGATTGGCCAAAAAAAAATTGTCATACTACTAACTACACATACTTGAAAGAAACTTTGATTAGCAATTCAAAATCTTTATTCAATTATACACCTAAGGTGTAAACTTAGAAACTGCTAATAATAATGTGATGCTTACCCTTTTCATTTGGTCTACAGTAATGGTAGAAGACTTCCAAAGAGATTTTAATAAATCCAAAATCATCTTGAATGCACTTTCTCCAGTTGACTCTAAAACCATTACAATAGCCTAAAATTTGATCAAAATTAATTTTTGGTTATTAATTCAGATAAGACTTCTTAAAATGTGTTATATCTCTTTCTTCTAATACGTAATGATTAAATGATAATAAATATTTTAGAAAGCTGGGCACTGGTGGCACACACCTGTAATCCTAGATACTCAAGAGGCTGAGATCTGGATCACGGTTCAAAGCCAGCCTGGGCAGGAAAGTCCGTGAGATCTTACCTCCAATAAACTACCAGAAAACCGGAAATGGCATGGGACTGTTGCTCAAGTGGTAGAGTGCCCCCCTTGAGCTGAAGAGCTCAGGGACAGCCCAGGCACAGAGTTCAAGCCCCATAACTGATCATTAACAGTTTTTAAAAGAAGAAAAATGAACATATGTTACTTAGAAAGATGAAAGTCCCTGCTGTGCAAAAATATATATATTTAAAAATTCTCTTTGGCATGGCAAAGCAATCTTACTTCGTAAACAAGCTCATGGTGAAAATGAGGTACTTCCAGTTCCTTAAGGCAATGTTCAGCTTCAGAAATGTCTCCAGAGAGTAAATACTCTTTCAGCAGCATATCAATCTATCAGATTTAAAAAGCATTGTTTAAGTTAAAAACAGCTAAGAACATAGAGACATGATACTCTACTTTTACATAATTAAAAATATTTTACAAAGTTTCAGTGGTTAATAGTTATGAAGCAAATACAGTGCTTCAGTGTGTCTAAGTAATCACTGAGTTTCCAATTGAAGATAAGGGATTTTAAACACTAGAGGGGGCACTAACTCAAAGTCTCAATAGGAATTTTTTAAGTGCTACAAAATCATCTATCAGGATGACTGTAATGCAACTGGAGCCAAAAGAATGAGAGATGGTAATGGGATATTACTAAGAAAGGAAAAGATCTCTAAATGATTTTTCTTTTCTCTACTACTGAGTTAAGAATGTTCATCAGCTTCCAACTGTAACTATAGACACAAATACTGACTCTTCAAACTCAAGCTTGTACAGTAGTAACATCTCTGGCTCCAGAGAAAAAGTAGGAAGGTTTACAGCACAACTGCTTCAACTTGGAATGTTTTTCCCTAAAAACTGCCTGTAAAATCATCTTTGCCTCTCATGAATATTCAATGTCTCTATTTCCAACTTATACAATGTATTTTCATGAAGGATAAAAATTGAACTCTAGAAGACATCCTGATTAATAATTCCTGTGTTTTAAGAAAATAAGATATAGCATTTTGCTGGGCACCGGTGGCTCACACCTGTAATCCTAGCTACTCAGGAGGCTAAGATCTGAGGATAGCAGTTCATAGCCAGCCTGGGCACGAAAGTCCGAGAGACTCTTATCTCCTCCAGTAAACCACTAGAAAACCAGAAGTGGTGCTGTGGCTCAAGCAGTAAAGCACTGGCATTGAGCTAAAGAGAGTAGGAACGGCACCCAAGCCCAGAATTCAAGCCCCACAACTGACCAATGAGAGAGAGAGAGAGAGAGAGATAGCATTTAAATAAAGTACTTTTATTTTATAATTACAATGAATTTGTTATACTACTTTTAACACTTGTTACCTAACTTTAAAAACTAAAATGTTCCCCAGCAGATTCCATGCATTTTTTAGCATTAGTTATACAAACAAGTAAAGATTCTTTAAAGTCATGTTTGTCTAACCCTTCCATGTAAACAGCCATCCAAATAATGTCAACCTCAAACATATAATGATAGCTTATTTCAACTTTTGTTTTTTCTACCTTTTTATTGATGAAAATCGCTATCCTTAGCAGATTAGATATTAATTCAGAATCCTATCTCAAAATTAATCATACCAAGAACAGTTTGGCAGTTCAGGGAGTATTACCATCTTAATAATAATGTCTTTTTTTTTTTCTCTTTTTTAGGCCTGGGCACTGGACCTTAGATTTTCCACTCAAGGTTGGCACTCTACTATTCAAGTCACAGCTCCACTTCAGTTTTTTGTTGATTAACTGGAGATAAGAGTCTCATACTGGGCACTAGTGGCTCATACCTGTAATCCTAGCTACTTAAGGGACTGGGATCTGAAGATCATGGTTCAAAGTCCATGAGATTCTTATTCCCATAAACTATTTAGAAAAGGCCAGAAGTGGCCTTGTGACTCAAGTAGTAGAATGTTAGCCTTGAGCACAAAGAGGCTTAGAGATAGTGCTCAGACCCAGAGTTCAAGCCCCAGGACCAGGGGAAAAAAAAGAAAAAACAACGAAGAGTCTCACAGACTTCCCTACCTGGATTGGTTTTGAACTACTACCTCAGATCTCAGCCTCCTGAGAGGCTATGGTAACAGGAGGAGGAAGCCACCAAACACACAGCTTGTCTTTCCATAAACATGGGGTATTTTCCACTTAAGTCTTTACTTTTTCAACATGTTGTAGTTGTACTTTCTTTTACTTTCATTTCTTAGTAATTTTCTTTCTGGCAGTACTAGAATTTGAACTCAGGGCCTTAAGCTTGCTAGGCAGACACTTTCTCTTGAGCCATGTCTCAGTCTTTTTGCTTTAGTTATTTTTTTGAGATAGGGTCTCAAATTTATATCTAGACTAATATGGATAGCATACTCCTAGTTACCTTTCCTGCATAACTGGGATGACTTCTTGTAGCTGAGATGACAGGTACACACAACATGCATAGATTTTTTCTTTTTTTGTCAGTCATGGGGCCTGAACTCTGGGCCTGAGCGCTGTCCCTCAGCTCTTCAGCTCAAGGCTAGCACTCTACCACTTGAGCCACAGCACCACTTGCGACTTTTTCTGCTTATGTGGTGCTGAGTACTAAAATCCAGGGCCTTATGCATGCAAGACAAGCACTCTACCACTGAGCCACCTTCCCAGCCCTACACAGATTTTATTGAGATGGAGTTGAGTGACTTTTTTTTTAAGGCTAGCCTTGAAGTACAGTCCCTCTAATGCCCTCTTACTGAGTAGGTTGGATTACAGATGTGAACCACCACATGCAGCTAGTATTTTGCTTTTGGTACTATTGTAAATTTTACTTCATGTCATTCATTGCTAATGATATAGATGTAGAATTAAATGCTATGTATTGATCTTACTTCCTGAAACCTTGATATGAAAGTTGCATAGCTAATTAGCTAATAACTGGTTTGGAGTTAGGGAGTGATTCTGTTAATTCATTTGATTTGCTGCCTACAGAGCATGTCATGTGGAATAGAGCTAGTTTTACCCAGCTGGATTTTTCTTCCTTTCCAATCTGGGTACCCTTTATTTCTTTTTTTTGCCTGATAGACTGACATCTTGACTATGTTTATACCTCAACTTTTCTAATAATTCTTAAAACTTGTCTAAAACATATTGTAATTGTGACATTATAAACACTGACCCATCTATTTTAACATGTATAAAAGCAAAAGAAGTCAACACTCTTCCCTTTTGAACTCCTAATGCTATCAAATGTTTTATGTATGAAAGATTTAAAAATCAAAATTATAGCCACATGAAAAGACTACACTAAAAAATCAGAAGTGCATAAACCATAAATCTTTTAATTTCTTAAAGGTTTCATTTATTTAAAATTAATCTAATTTTTAATTAAAAAGTTTTAAGCTGGGCACCAGTGGCTTATGCCTGTAATCCTAGCTACTCAAGAGGCTGAGATCTGAGGAACTACCTAGATAAATAGAAAAGTCCATGAGACTTATCTCCAATTAACCAGTGAAAAACCAAAAGTGAAGATGCAGCTCAGGTGGTAGAACTCCAGTCTTGAGCGAATAAGCCAGGCAAGAGCACAGGGCCCTGGTTCAAGTCCCAATACCAAAAAGAAACAATTGTTTAAATTTTAATTTCCAAAAGGCTAATCTAATTTCTCTTTAAATATTTAATTCCTAGCCAGACACTGGTGGCTCACACCTAGCTACTCAGAAGAATGAGTTCTGAGGATCACAGCTCAATGCCAGCCTGGGCAGGAAAAGTCCATGAGACTCTTATATCCAATAAGCCACTCAGAAAAAGCTGGAAGTAACACTGTGGTTCCAATGATAGAGTGCTAGCTTTGAGCAAAGAATCTCAGGGACAGAGCCCATGCCCAGAGTTCAAACCCTAGAACCAGAAAAAAAAAAATTAATTCCAAAAAGATTTCTTTTCTTAAAATTCTACAGATAAGAACATTGCTGCTTTAAACTTCTTGCTACAGAACACCAGAAAAAAATCCACCAGGAGAAATTTGTAATTTTAATTTATTGGCATTATTGCCCAATTACTCTTTCTTTTAATGAAAGTATACAGGTAGTAAGGTTCCTAACAAAAATCTATCATTTGATCTACTCTAGTGCTCACAATTCATCACTTACAATTCATAATCACCCAGTTTCAAACTTCACATATAAAAACGTGAACAAGTATTTATTAGAACAAGTTTTATTTCAATTGGATAATTTTAAATACTAATTAAGACAAAGATTCCAGGGTCTCCTCTGAAGTTCACAGAGAACTTTTTTATAATTATTCATGAAAGCCCTTGTCACAACAACATTTTAAAATAGAAAAAAATTTAACAATATGCACTTATATAATAAGTAGTAAAATGGGATAAGCAAATATAAAAGAGATAATTCAATTTTCTACTTGTACTTCTAATACTGAGTTTAATTTTCGACCACAAAACACCAGTTAGTACATATTTTTTCCTCTCAAAAGAATACATTTTAATTAAACCACACTACTCAATAGGTACCTCTTTAACAAGGTGATTGACAGACTGCTGCCCACCTCCAGAGCCCCACACACTATCTTTACGTTTTCCACCTTTAGACATACTCAGGAGCACAGTAGCCTTATCCAGAGCAGCTCTACCAAAAAATAAAAAGAGGAAACAATTAATTTTGATACATAGAATTGCCCAAGGTTCACCAAATTATAAAGCTAACAAAATCCCTTATGTACCAAAAAATGTAATTTAACAAAAATATGAAAGTAAAAGTCCTTTTAAAAACCATTTTCAAAATAAAAGTAAGATAGCAAGAAACACATATTCCATATTTAAAGAACATCCTCATGTTCTTTAGCTTTCATTTCTCATTAAAAAAATTAAAAGATGTTACAAAATAACTGACCTACAATGAGAGAACTATGTGCATGCATGCATGTGTGTGTGTGTGCGTGCGTGCGTGCGTGTTGTACACTGATCCGGGGGTTGAACCAGGGCCTGGAAGCTATTCTTGGGCTTTTTTGAACAAGGCTAGCACTCTACCACTTGAGACATAGCTCCACTTCCAGTGTTTTGGTGGTTAACTAGAGATAAGAGCCTCACAAATTTTCCTGCCTGGGCTGGCTTTGAACTACAATTCTCAGATCTCTGCCTCCTGAGTAGCTAGGATTATAGGCCTGAGCCATTGGCACCTAGCTGAGAAGGAATATTTTACATATAATTTTTACTGAGAACCATGCCTTGTGATCTAAAGAAATCATACCATTACCTATAGTAGCCCTAGAAAATTAAGTTAATATCTAAACCTGGTAAAACCTAAGACATGTTGCATTTCAAACCTAAGTCTTTAGGGAGTTAAGAAAAAATCATGTAGCTAAATGTCAGATGTAACTTATTATACCAAAGAACAAAAGTGAAAAACATTTTCCAAGAAAGATCTCACTCACAATATAAAGTAAAACTGCAAGTAAGTTTCCTTTAGTAATGTTGTCTTACATTACACTATTAGATAACTGTAGAATGTTAGAACAAAAAACACCTTAAAGAACATTCTATATGCAACACTTTCATTTTATAAATAAAGAAGCAGAGGCCCAGAGAAGGGTAGCTAATAGGTTAGCCAAAACTCAGAAATTATGCATTTTATTAATGTCCTTTTCCTGTTATTTCATGTCAATAATCTTTTCATTGTAATAGTGGAGAATTCAGACTAGTGCCAAATACATAGCCACAATGTCAGATTAATGCTAATTTCATTTCAATAAGATTCTATAGGAATTTCCTCTAATTTTGAAATTCTAAGTAGCAAAATTAATTTACTTACCTAGCCTGTACACAATCTACAGTTCCTTTGTAACTGTCAATATAGGTATTACATAAAATTCCATCTCCAACAGCTCTAGCAATGAATTGGCCCACCAACTACAGTAAGAAAGAAAAAGAGGTAGATAAACTAAAGCCTTTTATAGAACACAATTTTTATTTGTTGTGTTTGGTTGTTTGTTGTTGTTGTTTTGCCAGTCCAAGGGCTTGAACTCAGTGCCAATTCCGACTTTTTCTGAGTAGTTTACAGGAGATAAGAGTCTCCTGGACTTTTATGGTGTGGCTGGCTTCAAACTGCAATCCTCAGATCTCAGCCTCCTGAGTAGCTAGAATTACAGGTGTGAACAACCAGCTAGGCCACAATTTCTAAATACATAAATGATGATGAATATTTTAACTACATAGTTGATATTTAGACATACTGTTATATTCAAAAACACCTATTTAGCACCTGCTGGTTATGCTTGGCATACACTCCCTCCTCATCTTGACCTTCTAGTTAAGTGCCATCAGAGTACAGGCTATATCTGCTTTATTATTGAAACTCCAATACCTTGTTAGTCAATATATAATCAAAAGTACTTGCTAACTGTATGGCTTAAAAGTCAAGAGAAATCTCTTTTCTAAAAACAAAGTCGAGTTTTTCTCAAAAGAAAAACTGAAGCAATATATATTTTTACTTTTAATCTTTTTAATCTTAAAGCAGTTGCACAAAGGACATGATATATATATATATATATATATATTTAAATATATACAAAATACAAAGTAGTTTTTGAATACTGTAGATCTTGATCACTGGCAAGTCCTTCAACATTCTCACCCCACTTTGAACCACCACCACCCCCTTCCCTTTTTCTTAATTTGTGATACAACGAATTCTTTTTTTTTTTTTTTTGGTTAGTACTAGGGCTTGAACTGAGGGCTTGGGAACCGTTCCTGAGCCTCTTTGTACGGAAGGCTACCACTCTACCACCTGACCTACAGCACTACTTCTGGCTCTCTTTGAATATAGAAGAATATAGAAGAATCTCACTGACTTTCCTGCCTGGGCTGACTTCAAACCATCATCCTCACATCTCAGCCTCCTGAGTAGCCAGGATTACAGGTGTGAGCTAGTAGCACCCAGGTTACAGAGAATTCTCCCCCACTTCCCTCCTTCATTCCTTTACCACTCTTCAGTTGGCCCCACCCCTCTTTTGGATGTATTCATTTCCTGGGGTTTATTTTGCTGGGCTTTGACCTAGTCTTTCTAAAAGATTATATACTATTTGAGCTCTTCATAGGGTCTATCATATGTCAGTTAATTTATTTGTAACCACTTGTATACTGCCCAACTTGGGTTTTTTTTTTTTACAGATTTATAGGTACATTCTGTCTACCACAAATGAAGGAAACCATGCAGCCTTTGTTTCTCTGGATCTGGTTTACTTCACTTAACATAATTTTTTCCTAATAATCTTACCAAGATGAGTTAAAATATCATTTGAAAGTATGCTCATACACGTAATTGTTTTACAAACTGAAAACTCCCATGTAGAACAATAAAAGTGGGTCCAAGCAAGAACATAAACTACATGGCTAAAGGGGAAAATATTTACTTATTTTATGGGGTAAGAAAAACTAAGTTTACAAAACAGCATGTATGGTATGATTCCACTTTCTAACTGAAGTATAAGGACATATTTAAAAATTATGTTGATATATAACTAGCAAAACAGAATGAAAAATTTAACACCAAAATGTTAGCCATGGTTATTTTTGCTTGACTTTCTTCCTGTTAAGATTTTATTTTTCAAAAATTCTGTAAGCAGTAAGAAGTGATGTAATCATTTTTAAAAGTATTTATTGGGATAAATACTTTTTTCTTTTTTTGGAGAAAACAACCCCCTTTCCAGTGAGAGCTCGACACTTTTTTATATAGATTATGTTACAGAAACTCCATTTGGAAACTTTCCTATATTCTTGTTTCTAAATTGATACATAAAACTTTTATCAAAAATTGGTAAGATAATAATTTCATGTTTTCAAAGTTATAAAAGAGAAAATAATAACGAACTGTTTTATAATAAAATAAACAAATTCAAGCATAATTATAAATTATATTTTAAAAAATCCTAGCTAGTAAAATTAAACACAGAGAATACAGAAAAAAATAAATATGTAACCTAAAACCTATATAGGCCAGGTGCTGGTGGCTCACACCTGTAATCCTACTCAGGAAGCTGAGATCTGAGGATCACGGTTCAAAGCTAGCCCTGGCAGGAAAGCTGGTGAGACTCTTACCTCCAATAAACCACTCAGAAAACCAGAAGTGGTGCTGAGGCTCAAGTGGTAGAGCGCTCACCTTGAGCTTAAGAGCTCAGAGACAGCGCCCAGACCCAGAGTTCAAGCCACACAACCCACAAAAAAAAAAAAAAAAAGACCCTGTATAGAACATAGTAAAGATGTAAAAAAGAATTATAAAGACTATTTAAAAACAAAACAGTAACAAAATGCATTTTATAAATGTTAAGATTGTTTTTGTATGGTAATAAATGTGGACCATTTCCCTTCCATCTATTAAAATGTTTTAGGAACATGTGCTATTTCTTCAATTAAAAGTGTGTAGGAAAAAAGGAATTAACAAAGGGAATGACACAAACCTGTGGTGCTCTAGGAGTATCCAATGCTAATTCAGGTAGATCCTTCAACAATTTATCAAATGACTTTTCCACATCATTTGTGCTCATGACTGTCCCACAAAGGTCAGAAAGAAGCTTAGATGTCATTTCTCTGTGACTAGCCTTCCCCTCCAATGCTAAGGACACTGCCAACACTGGTACTCCACTTTTCATTTCACCAAGATTTAAATCTTTTAGCATTTCCTATTCAAAAGAATAAAAAATTTTATTTTTAAAAGTATGTCATTATAGTTTAATAAATTTTTAGTTGTAGAAACTCAAGCTTTTATCTATATATCTTTTGGTCACCCCTTCCTCTTTACAAATATCAAGAAAGCAGTCATATTGAATGGGGCTGGAATAATAGTGATCTATTCGTCCAGCTTTACTTGCGTGAACATCACTAAGAATGTGAATTATACTGAAAATAGTTTATTGAACTATATATTATTGCTAAGTTTGGTATCAACTAATTCTCTGCTTTACAATTAATATTATTTCTAAAAATATGGACTGATGAGTATTTATGGAGAAATTCATTTTATACTATTATAGGGTATATATTCTATTTTTCTTCAAAGACTTCTCTGCTTTAAACTTTTACATAAAGTTTAAAATGAGATCTTAAACCATGCTTAATTGGGATTTCTTTTAAATGCTTGAATGAAGTCAAGCTTTCCTATTAAGAATAAAGTAACCAGCCAGGTGCCAGTGGCCCACACTTGTAATCCTAAGTATTCAGTAGGCTGTTTAAGGCCAGCTTGGGCAGGAAAGTCGGTGAGATGATTATCTCCAATTAAATACCAGAAACCCAGAAGTAAAGCTGCTAGCCTTGAACACCAAAGCTCAGGGACCAGAACCTGAGTTCAAGTCCAAGGACTGGCACAAAAAAGAAAAAGAAAAAAAGTAACAGCTACCATGTTATTAATGGCCACTTTAATTTTTTTTATTTTTTTAAACAGCCACTTTGTATCATCTCATTCAATATGCAAAATAATCTAAAGCACAAGAAAATTAAGAAATGGCTAAGGGCACCCAAGAATGGCCAAATTTGAAGTAAAATAGATAGCAGAGTGCCTTTTTCTTTAGTGTAAAATAGATAGCAGAGTGCCTTTTTCTTTAGTGAAGTTTTCTTGGAACCTCTGTACCATGAAATACTACTTAAAAGAATGCCAGGAAAAAAAAAAAAAGAATGCCAGGACTATCTTCATAAACATGCAACTGGTATCTGGTTAGTAACACCTTCATCATTACCTTGTCCTTGACTGCACTTTAACAACTACTTTAACAACCATCTTTTTCAAAAATAACATACCTCTTTCTGGTAAATATTCAACTAGCTTACCTGGAAATCCCCTACCCATACTTCAGGATGGTTCAGAATCACCTCTTGTATTACTTACCATTGAATGTTTCCACAATATGCTGCTTAATCTTACTATGCAATATTTCAACAGTTCCTGACTTCAAAGGACTTAAACTCTTTCTATAGAATGGATTCTTTCACTTTACATCTTAGTAAATGAGCTTTACATCATTTAAATGAGCTTTAGAAGGACAGGGATCACATATTACAAATTCTTTCACATGGCAAGTACTATATTGAAATCTTGAAAATCCAGAGATAACAAAGCTCAAGAATCAAAATCAATAAAGTTTAAGGAAGTGGAGATGTCTCAAGTGGTAGAGTGTCAACCTTGAGCAAAAAAAAAGCTAAGTAAAGAACACAAGGCCCTGAGTACCAGCCCACAAAAAAAGAGCCTTTTAAATTACACACACAGACACACACACACATTGGGGAAATCCTATTTTGGAAGTGGTGGTATGACTCAAGCAGTAGAGCTCTCCCTTCAAGTGAAAAGAAAGTAAGCTAGGCCCTAGTAGTTCACACCTGTGATCCTAGCTACTCAAGAGGCTAAGATTTAAAGATCATAGTTCAATGCCAGCTCAGACAAAAAAGGTTGAGACATCCCATCCCTAATGAGCCATAAAAATACTGGAGGCATACTAAAGGTATGGTTCAAGTAGTAGTACACCGGCCATGAGTAGAAAACTATCAAAAGCACAAAGCCCTGAGTCCAAGCCCCAATATAAGGCCCCCAAAAGCAAGTTTAGTATGGAATGTAAGAATCTAAATTATAAATGTCTTTTAAAGAATCATTATTGTATTTTAAGCCAGTATTCCTAAAATTTTTAAAAATTTAGGAGGTTGAGGGGGAGTGAAAGTAAGAGAAAAAAGAGGGAAAAGGGTAACAAGTTCGACAAGAAATGTACTTACTACCTTACTTATGTAACTGTAACCCCTCTGTACATCTCCTTGACAATAAAATAAAATTTAACTCTTCTAGATTAATTTATAAACAATGCATATTAAATATATTAAACATTCCCACACAGATGATGATTTGAAAGCATTTAAGTTTATACTCTTAGTTTCAGTATATATTCTTTTTCAAATCTCTACTGGTATTCTTTGATTTCTGAACAGAATACAGAGATAATCCAGAATATTTTACTAAATATCAAATGAAACTAAAGCCAAGTGTTAGTGGTTCACGCTTGTAATCCCACTTGGGAGACTGCACTAGAAAGAACCTGGGTTTGACACTAGCCCAGGAAGAAAATTTCATGAGACCCCTTCTTAACCAATATTGGGAACGAAGACACAGGACTGTCACCACAAACTAAAACTGAGATTGGAAGGATTAGGGTTCCAAGCCAGCCTGGGAGAAAAGTCCACAAACCTCCACATCACCATGGAGAGAAGCTGGACACAAGCTTGTGATCCCACAAACTATGGCAAGCCCAAAGCAGGAAGAGCACAGCACGAGCAAGCACCCCAGCAGAAGGCAAGACCCTAATCCTAAAAATAACCAATCTGAAAATGTGGACTGGTAGAATATCAGCTTAGAAAGCACGAGGCTGAGCTCAAACCCCAGTTACCACCACACCAACAAGACAAAAGCACTATTTGCTCTCATAGCTGGTGTACTACTATTTGAGCCATACCCTACTCTAGTATTTTTTTGCTGGATAATTAGAGTTTCACAGATTTTTCTCCCTTTACTGACTTCTCAATGATCCTTAAAATCTCAGCCTCCTGATTAACTAGGATTACAGGCATGAGCCACTGGTCTAAGTAAAGCATTCTCAACTGAAGCCCCAGAAAAGGCTTCAGAAGGCCCACAAATGCCCTAACATTGCTAAAATATTTTATACATTATTAAAATGGACATTACAAATTTCTATAATAACATTATTAAAATAGAAATGGAACAGTTTGTGGTCAGACCCCAAATATTTATATAAGAACAAGTGATTTAATATAATAAGATTTTATTTCCTTTCTTAGTTAAGAAATGTGTGCAGACTAAAATATTGAAAATTATCCCATGATCCAAGATCACTCAACATAAGTTTTATTTATAATATTGTTCCTGTTCTTTACTAAATAGATTATCCTTTAAACTTCAAACCTACCGCAACTTCATTAGTATCCCCATGCTCAAAGTATTCTTGTATAATTGGTGTTAAAGTTTTTTCAAATGCTGTTTCATCCAAGGGCAAAACTACAGTTTCATAAACACAGTTCTCCTATAAAGGAAGGAGAAAAAGTTATAATCTTAATAAGAATATAAAAAAGATCAATATTATAGTGACTAAAAAAATCTAAAATAAAGCACTGTTCAGCTAGGATGTGGCTCAAGTAGATCATTTGTTAGTATGTAAGAGGCCTGGGTTCAATACCCAGTGCTGAATGAGAAGAATGAGAAGTACTGCTCCAGTGAAATTCATCACAGAAGATAAATGTCTATTCACCAAACTATCCTTTTCTCTAGTAAAAAGTTGTCAAATACTTATTCACCAACTTCTGAATGTTTTCAGTCTAACATATACCTAACAGTATAACATTCAGCAGGGTCCACAGCATTTGAATCAAATGGTTTTAAATGTGTGTCTATGACTGTGTATGGCAGTTCTGGGCTTGAACTCAGGGCTTGGGCGCTGTTCCTGAGCTTCTTTTGCTCAAGGCTAGTACTTTGCCACTTGAGCCAACAGTCCACCTCCACCATTTTGGTAGTTTACTGGAGATCAGAGCCTCAAGGACTTTCCTGCCTTGACTGGCTTCAAACCATGATCCTGAGATCTCAGCCTCCTGAACAGTTAGGATTCCAGGCATCCACTGGCACCTAGCTTTTAAATATATTTTTCATATTTCCAAGATCAACTATTAATTAAAATAGGTAAGTACCAGCCAGACAATGGAGGCTCAAACCTGTAATCCTAGCTATTCAGGAGACTGAAATCTGAGGATTGCAGTTTGAAACCAGCCCATGCAGAAAAGTCTCCGAGCCTCTTATCTCCAATAAAGTACTCAAAAAAAGCCAGAAGTAGCACTGTGGTGCAAGTAGTAGCTCTGAGCAAAAAGCAGCTCAGTACCCAGCCCTTGAGTCCAAGTCCCAGAAAAAAAAAAAAAAGTAAGGACCTACGTATGGACGATACACAATTAAACAACCTCATATATTCCCTCATTATTTTCCTGTTTAAAACTAAATGGATTGCAGGGCACCACTGGCTCATGCCTGTAATCCTAGCTACTCAGGAGGCAGAGATCTGAGGATCACAGTTCAAAACCAGCCCGGCCAGGAAAGTCTGTGAGACTCTTATCTCCAATTAACCACAAGAAAACTGGAAGTAGTGCTATAGCTCAAGTGGTAGAGCTCTTGCCCAGAGATCAAGCACCATGACCAACAAAATAAATAAATAAATGTATCATTTCCTATCTTTTTCAAGGACAGTTAATTTCAAAAAAAATTAATAATACTGGTATTTGCTTCAAAATCACCCAGAGGAGGAGGGGGGGCTATATGGGGAAGACAAAAGAAGTAGGAAAGTAAATAAATTCTATTACATTCTCAGCTTTATCCCTAGGGAAAGAAATATACATTCCTAAAACAAAATTTATCCTAGTTACTATCCTAAACAGTAATATTAAAAAGAAACCTTGAGCTCAGAAGGTGGTTCAGTGGTAGAGTGCTTGCCCTGCATGAGGCCCTGGGTTCGATTCCTCAGCATGACATAAGCAGAAAAACCCAGAAGTGGCACTGTGGCTCAAGTGGTAGGGCACTAGCCTTGAGCTGAAGAGCTGAGGGACAGCGCCCAGGCCCAGAGTTCAGGCCCCACGACTGACCAAAATAAATAAATAAATAAATAAATAAGAAAAAGAAAAAAAACCTTATAGCTGAAACTCTTTCTTGATATTCAAAAGAAACTGGATCTCCTTTCAAGTATCATTACTATAAAAACTGTATTAACTCAATGGTAACTTTAATAATTCTAAGTGAAGCTATGAAGGCCTTTTGACTCCAGAAACCAAGGGAAAACCATAGATATATTACTATATTTAACTGTAGTAATGATCTACAAATACTGAATATAAAATTCTGTGTCAATGTGTATGCTTGTGTATGATTTGGTAACTACAGACTGTAATTATATGTATTTACATATATGATAGTGATCAGTTGATACCTGGTCATCATCATAGTTGGGGTCTTTCACATCCACCTCCTCCACATCATAAACTTGTCCAGGTGTACCCCAGACACCTTTGCCTCCTGCACCACCTGAAAAAGTTTAGAATTGAGAAAGGAAAGAACAAAAAGTTCAATTTTAATTGCAATATGAAATAATTTGAAATGTGCAAATGCTATAGCAGCTAAAAAAACTGCTTTTTGAGTTCTACTAGTTTTATTGCCAGCTGGGAATTATACTTGAAACACTTTTTATTTAGGTAATTTTTCAATGATGATTAGGCTATATTTTATACTCTAATTCCAAATAGTAAAGATTAAAACTAAAAAGGCAAATACTTTAAAGTAAGTAAAAACAAGCAACTCTGAAAAGTAACTATATTGAGGACCTTGTGGGAAGTGACTGCATTGAACTTTAAATTTTGTCATTTCATAGGCCCAAAATAAGAAGGAAAAAAAACATGTTGGGCCAGTGAAAGCAATACAGAAAAATTACTTAACTAAAAAACACAGTGACCAACATCAAATGTTTTAAAAGTCAAATACCCTTTGCTGTAATACCACACACACTTTAATCTATATTTTACAATTAGAAAAACTACTACGTAAGTATTAACAGCACTAGTATTTCTCCCTGCTTCTATATACAAACTAACCAGTATAACAATTTGTCTTGCAAGTTGCATTTCTATTTAAATTTAGTGAAATATACATATATTGTTTATTATAAAGATCCCTTACAGTATCATCAAAATCTTTTTAAGTTTTTATTTTGTATAATTATTTTGTATAATCCTTGCTATTAAGCAAACCAAAGTCTGATAAACAGGTTTCATTTTGATCCAAACAACAATTATATAGATACTCACAAAAATGAAAATTTCAGGTGGATCCCAGTGGCTCATGCTTATTAATTCTGGCTACTCAAGAGGCTGAGAGATCCAGAGGTCACAGCTTGAAGCCTGGCTGGCCAGAAAAGTCTGCTAGACTCTATCTCCAAAATAACCATCAAAAAGCTAGGCTAGAATCAGGCACTGGTGGCTCAAGCCTGTAATCCTCACTACTCAGGAAGCTGAGATCTAAGGATAGAGGTTTGAAGCCAGGAAAGCTTTGAACAAGAAAGTCTGTAAGACTCTTATCTCCCAATTAACCACCAAAAGGCTGGAATTAGAGCTATGTGGCTCAAGTAGTAGAGCAACAGCCTTGAGCTTTGAAAAAGCTCAGGGACAGAGCCCAAGCCCTGAGATCAATCTCTAGTTGCAGCACAAAAACAAAAAAACCAGGCTGAAGGTATCACTTAAGTGGAAAAGCACAAACTGAGTGAGCAAGGTTCTTAGTCCAACTCCTAGTATTGTAAAATATGTAAGAAATCACTACAATTTCAGCTTATCTGAAGTTGATTCCTTATCATTCCTCTTTTTCCCCCCTCTCATTCCCTCATGGAAGAACTTTTCCATAGTAATTTTTGGTGGTACTTGTATCTGAAATCAGCCTGGCACTTAGCTAGGTAAGCATACTACAATGCCTCTAGTCCTTCTTTTGCACTATTTTTTTAAGTTTTAGCAAATAATGATTTTACTATAACAAAGCTGAAATAGGGAGAGAAACAGAAAAAGGCAAAGAGAAGATAAAAAACATTTCCTGTTCCTTACATAGAAAACAGAAGTTACAGCTGGTCACTGATAGGTCACACCTGTAATCCTAACTTGACTCAGGAGGCTGAGACCTGACAACTCCAGTTCAAAGCCAGCCCAAGCAGGAAAGTCCATGAGACTCTTATTTCCAATTAACCACCCCAAAACCAGAAATGGCACTGTGGCTCAAAGTGGTAGAGCACTAGCCTTGAGCAAAAAAAGTTTAAGCAGGCCGGGCACTGGTGGCTCATGCCTGTAATACTAGCTACTCAGGAGGCTGAGATCTGAGGATCGTTGTTCAAAGCCAGCCCTGGCAGGAGAGACCGTGAGACTCCTATCTTCAATAAACCACCAGAAAACCGGAAGTGGCGCTGAAGCTCAAGTGGTAGAGCGCTTGCCTTGAGCTGTAGAGCTGAGGGACAGCGCCCAGGCCCAAAGTTCAAGCCCCATGACTGACAAAAACAAAAACACACACACACAAAAAAAAAATTTAAGCAGCCAGGCCTAAGTTCAAGCCCCACAATCAATGACCAAAAAAAAAAAAAAAAAAGGCAAGTTATAAATGGTGATACTTATCTACAGTCTTTAAAACTTTTGTGCTGGGAGAATATAAGAGGTCCTGTGTAGGGCTGGGAATGTAGCTTAGTGGTAGAGTGCTTGCCTAGTATGCATTAAGCCCTAGGTTCAATTCCTCAGTACCAGGACTGGCACCAAAAAAATAAATAAATAATAAAAAGAGGTCCTATCTTCTAGTAACTCCTAAACCTTAAACAATTCTGGATGGGTAAGATGGTGAAACCTACCTACACCCCAAAATACACTGATTATTTTTGAGACAGGGTCTCACTCCCTGACCAGGTCACTCTCAAGACTGCAACCCTCCTGGTTTTCACTTCCTGCCATAGGTGGGTGATCATTTCTACTATTGAGAATGAGTTTCAAGACTACTAGGCAGACCTGGAACCAAATTGCAATCCTCCTGATCTTAGCCTTCTAGTCATCTTTCTGACTTAGATTAATTCTAGGTTTATTAATGGAAGATATTGGAATCAAATTTCCATGTTTAATTATTCTCCATTCATTCCAAGTTTTTTCATCATCCAGAAATGACTTAAATTATCAGGATCTTAACCAAAGCTCCCACTACTCAGAAGTTAGTCAAACCTCCAAACAGAACCAAAATTCTACCATAGACACAAGTTTACAGACCCATGTTAGTCCCTATCTGCATGCTGAAGATGCAGACATGAAAGAAAGCCAATCTACTCCAGTACTCAAAGAAAGCTAAAGAGAACTCTCCAAGCCATACCTACGAAAATACTAAAATTCTGTCCATATTTTAACAAATGTTACCAAATGTGTATATATTATTCTTCAAAGAAGACCTAACTAGATCCATTAGATAAGTATGATAAATTTCTGACCATTTTAAAACAAAGTGGCTGCACAACATAACATGAAAAACATCAGTGTATACCATATTCTGCCAGAAATAGATTAAAAGTTCTGCCCCCAGGAAAGTAAGTCAACACAAGAGAAAAGTATCAACCTAAAGAAAAGTGAAGTTGTCCTCATCATTACTTTGTAAATACATATATATTATATACACTATATAATATTTACATGCACCATAAAATACAACATTATAATTCTCTGATTTCTAGAACAAGAAATTCATAGTACAAAAACCAGACAATTTGTTCTCTATGTGTTCCTCTGCACACAGTATATACCAACCTTTCTTTGGTAGTCCCCTTCCTTTCCCAGATCTGGATCGCCTATCTAGCAACCTTCCCTTTGGACTGGTCGGCACAGTTACTCCACTCCTAACCGCTTCACTTCCGTTATCACTGACTGAATCTCCTCTGCCAGAGTCCCGGGATGAGTTTTTCCGTAGTCGTCTTTTTGCCTTGGCATTAATTCTAGCTTCATTAATGGAGGATGCAGAAATCCAATTTCCATTTATTTCATTCTTTATTTCCTCAGTCCCAGCATTTTCTTCATCACCAGAAAAGAGAGAATCACTTAAATTATCAGGATCTTAAAAAGAAAAAAAAAATGAAGAATGAAATTATTTTAAGCATCTACCTTTATTTCAGGTATAATCCAGATGTAATTTTGATTAGGGTGAATACATGAAGTTACCATTTTTGTAGGTTAGTAACATAATTTCATATGGTACAACCTAATAAATAACAAGGTGATTACTTTTCCCATTACCAAAGAAATGAAACTAAATAAATTTTAATGTACAAGGTTTCCTGGGGAAAAATGTTACCACCCACATTGAATTTAAAAAAATCTATGTTAAGCCAGGAGCCAGTGGCTCACACCTGTAATCCTAGCTACTCAGGAGGCTGAGATCTGAGGATCATGGTTTAAAGCCAGCCCAGGCAGGAAAAGTCTGTGAGACTCTTATCTCCAATTAACCACCAGAAAACCAGAAGTGGCGCTATGGCTCAAGTGGTAGAGCGCTCACCTTGAGCTGAAGAGCTCAGGGACAGCACCCAGGTCCAGAGTTCAAGCCCATGACCAACCAAAAAAAAAAAAATCTATGTTAATATAAGAAACAAAAAACAATTAAGACTTTAGTGAGAAGAGAATTGAGTAACAGGGAATATTAAGACAAGAATCTTGAGAGAAGGGAGAAAAACTAGTATTTACAGAATGTTTACTACTTATTAGGCATTGTACCAGATACCATCATTTACCAATAAGCTCAGCAAGTATTGTACAATTTATACAGACAAGAAACTAAGGTTCAGAATATTCAAATGGTTTCTCATATATTCCCTGATGAATTACAGATACTCAGAAAATATTAGTAATCCAAAGAATCTAGAAGACTTTGGCAAACAAGTGATTTTGTGTGTATGTATAATTATATATGATTATATTTAGATATATGATTGTTCCACTATCATATTTATTGATATGTTTTTTCTTAATAAAGCCATTATATCCAAGTCCTAACTCATCTCACAAACTTTCTGTTTTCTGGAAAAAAAAATTTTTTTTTGGGTCCGGCCGTGGGGCCTGAACTCTGGGCCTGGGCGCTGTCCCTCAGCTCTTCAGCTCAAGGCTAGTGCTCTACCCCTTGAGCCACAGTGCCACTTCCGGCTTTTTTCTTTTTGCTTATGTGGTGCTGATGAATCGAACCCAGGGCCTCAGGCATGCAAGGCAAGCGCTCTACCACTGAGCCACCTTCCCAGCCCCAAACCTACCTCAGGATGGCATATTATCCTCTGAAAGACAGCAACACATTTTGGAGTTCTCAGTGGTTCCTCCTTAGAATGTCATCCTCACTTGCTCTTTTAGTTGTGACAATCCTTTAGGACATACCTCAAATCTTACTTGCTAACAACTCTAGCCACAATAACACTAATGCTCATACACAGAAACCAATTTATTTCTTTTAGATTTCTTTTAGAAGCAGTCTTGTTTTTCCAACAAGGCCATAGACTAAAACAATGACTACAATGTTCTTTGTATATCACCAGCATGTAGAGTATCCTTCATTCTGTAAGGTCAAATGCCCATAGGGATCACACAGAGACATAGTTTTCTGTGAAAACATTTTTTACTTTGTGCCAATACTGGGGCTTGAACTCAGGATCACATGCTCTCAATGATGCTTTTACTCACAGCTATTGCTCTACCACTTGAGCATATCTCCAGCCCAGCATTTTTCTGGTTAACTGAAGTTGAATATCTTGGATTTTCCTACCTGGACTTGCTTTGAACTGTGATCCTAAGATCTCAGCCTCCTGAGTAACCAGGAACTACTTGGGCCTAGTTCTTAATGTAAGTTAGAAAGGCTATTTATTGAGCTAGTTACCAATGCACCAGACTTTTGTTCAGTGCAACTCAAGTAAAAAGCTGAATCATTCAAATATAATTACAATATATCATGTCTACAAATAGACTTTAACATGTTAGAAGACATGTTGAAACTAAACATTGTAATTAATCTATTAAAAAGAGGTGCTAACTTGAGCTGAAGAGCTGAGGGACAGTGCCCCGGCCCAGAGTTCAGGCCCCACGACCGGACCCCAAAAAAAAAGAGGTGCTAAAACCTTTACAATTCTTGACAAAGTATAAAAGGAAAAAAACACAGTGGTACTCAAAAAACAAGTAAACATTAGTTGTATTCAAATTTCTTTTTTTAATGGTACTAGGGTTTCAGTTCAGGGCCTTGAACTTGCTGAGCTGGTACTTTACCACTTGAGCCATGTTCCCAGACGGTTTTTTGATGCTATTTTGAGGTAGGATCTCTCGAACTTTTTGATACTCAGGCTAGAATATCCAGATATTAGCCTTCTGAGTAGACAGAATTACAGGAGTGAGCCACTGGCTCCACACCTCAAATTATCTCATTACATTTCTATGGAAGTCTCCCTGCCTATAGTCTTCAAATATTTCTCCAAACTACCAACTGCTTCTAAACATACCACAAATGAAAACTCTGAAATGTTTCCCATTATCTCACAGTAATCGTAAACCTTACCATGTAACTTAAAGTCATTTATTATCCATTCGTGATCCTGCTTACTACATCAGAATCACTGCTAACAACTCTTACATCCAAACTTCAAAGCTTGTATCTGACATCTTAAGGAGGAGGTAGAGGGATTAGTTTGGTAGAATACAGAATATACTAGAAAAGGTTAAGCATAAAAAGGAGGAGAGGAGCCGGGCGCTGGTGGCTCACGCCTGTAATCCTAGCTACTCAGGAAGCTGAGATCTGAGGATCACGGTTCAAAGCCAGCCCGGGCAGGAGAGACCGTGAGACTCCTATCTCCAATAAACCACCAGAAAACCGGAAGTGGCGCTGTAGCTCAAGTGGTAGAGCACTCGCCTTGAGGGACAGCGCCTAGGCCCAGAGTTCAAGCCCCACGACCGACAAAAAAAAAAAAAAAGGAGGAGAGGAGCTAAGAAATTTACAATAATTCATTCAAAAAGTAATTTGAAATTGGCAAGGCTAGAGTTAATAGTGTGAGATGTTTTCCTAAAAAAAAAAAAAAAGAGCTTTAAAGCAGATGACTCAGGTGTGAAAAGAGGAGTAGAATAATAATGGCGTCCAAGTTTGTAGAGTGGTTGGAAACTGGTATATGAGACTTCATCAGAACTAAACTAATAGTTGTCTCACAATTGGTAGTAGTCATTGTACTTTGTTAATAACAGTTAGTATCATAACCCACTAGGTATTAAGTTCTGTGCTACCTGTACATACTAGACCCTTACACATAATACTATAGCAATTAGACCATGTGAAAATATTAAGTTCACTATTGTTCTCCATTCTATACTATATACAAGCAAGAATGCACACAAGATATGAAAAGACAGGAAGAAAAACAAAGACATCTGAATTTACATGAAAACAAAACTTACAAATCTGATCTTAAAAATATGGTCTACTTTCTTAGACTATTGAAGATAGTTTTGCTATTATCTTTTCTTTTTTTTTTGGTCGGTCGTGGGCTGTCCCTCAGCTCTTCAGCTCAAGGCGAGTGCTCTACCACTTGAGCTACAGCGCCACTTCCAGTTTTCTGGTGGTTTTATTGGAGATAGGAGTCTCACGGTCTCTCCTGCCCGGGCTGGCTTTGAACTGCGATCCTCAGATCTCAGCCTCCTGAGTAGCTAGGATTACAGGCCTGAGCCACCAGCGCCCGGCTTGCTATTATCTTTTCTTAAAATATAAAATGCCTGAAGTTTTCTCACAACACAGTCAAGGTTTAAGTTAATACTTACCTGTGGGGTTCACATTCAGTATCTGCTCATTTTCTACATCCATTGTTCCTTAATTTCACTTGCACTGATTAAACAAATTACCAAATTGAAGTCTTCCTTTAGAATCTATTTTAAAAAAACAAAAGTTTCAGTGTCTCCTAAACTGATATAATTAAGGCAAATCAAACTTATTTAAGCATTAAGTAAAAAAATTCTTTTAAAAAATGCAAGTCTGTTTGTAAGCTTTCTTTTTTTTAGTACCATCATTCAAACTCAGGGCCTTAGGCTTGTTAAGGAGGTGATTTACCACTTGAGCCACACTCCAATCATTTTATTTCAGATTGGGTCTTATGCCTTTCCCAGGACCAGCCTTGCACCACAATCAGTCTACCTCCACCTCCTAAGTGGCTCAGATAACAGGTACAAGTCACTGCCCCCAGCCAAATGACAGAAATTTTTTTTTAATTATGGCTTAAATTCAGGGCCTCATGTTCTTACTTCATTGCAAAAGGCTGGCAAATCTACTATCTGAGCCACACTTCCTCTTCTTAAGCTTTCAATTCTTGATTACAAACTACTATTTCGTTCCAGCTTTCTTTTTTTGTCTATAACACTTTATTATCTTTAAATAGTTACACAAAGGGATTTCAACTCAACATGTTCCAAATTTCTTGAGTAGTTCATCTAATGCCAAACAAAATGTGTCTATGTACTCCTAAAACTTGGAATTAAATCACAGATTTTCCATGTTTGTTAAAGAAACATTCATATGTATGTATAGACAGGTATATGGGTGTATGTGTAAGTTGGGAATTCCTAAAAAGTTGGGAAATATTATGTGTATGTGTATGAACAGTAAGTCTCAAAATCAATATGATAAACATATACAGTGATATAACTATTGGACTGTTTTCTACCAGTATAATAGAGTAAACATAAACAATAGTTTTCATTAATCAAAAATTATGACATGATTGTATTTTTCACACTACAGCCTATCTGAAAATAGATGCATCTTCCACTTCATTATCTAGGATTCTATATGATTGTTGTTATACATGACTTTGAGACCAAGAGAAAAAAAATTTAAATCAGCTTTGTCCGTAACAAACATTTTTAGTTTTATAATATGGTACTCTACCACTTGAGCCATGCCTCCCACCTGGCTTTTTTGCTGATTATTTAGAAATAGTCTTAAAAACTTTTCTGTCCAGAATGGCTTCAAACCACAATCCTCCAGATCTCAGCCTCCTGAGAAAAACGTATTATTTAAAAAGAAACATTTAAACTATTGGAAAGGAGTAAGATATGGGCATGGTGCAATCTTGGCTGTAATCACAGTATTCAGAAAGTAAAGACAAGTCATAATTCAAGGCTAGCTTGTGCTACACAGTGAGTCCAAGGTTACCTTGATACCTCCACTCAAAAAAGGGGGGAAGGGCCCTTGGAATTGCTTTGTGGTATAGTACTTGCCTAAGAGACCTTGGGCTCAATCCCCAGCAACCCAAAATAAATACATAGCATCTTAGTACTATAGGCCTTAGTTTCAAAATTGCTTAAAATCATTAATATTGGGTTGAAATCATTTAGCCAATTACCTAAGTGATACAGATCCAATGTTATTAATGAAGTACATTTTAAAATATATCACTAGAGCTGGGCACCAGTGGCTCACATCTATTAACTCTAGCTACTCAGGAGGCTGAGAGCTGAGGTTTAATAGAGCCTATGAAAATCCAATTAACCATAAAAAGCTGGAAATGGAGCTGTGGCTCAAGTGGTAGAGTGCTAGCCTCGAGCAAAAAAGCCCAGAGACCGCAACCCCACTCTGAGATCAAGTCTCAGTTCCAGGGCACATGCACATGCATGCATGCATGCACATGCACACGCACGCACGCGCGCGCACACACACACACACACAATCACAGGACATCATAGCCAGTAAGATTTTGGATTCTCCAGAAATACTCTTTAAACAAATTATACTTCGACATGATAAATTAAACAGGACTCTAAACATTCACACAGTGAGACCAAAGGAGGATATTCTTAGGAGAAGATGACAAAGGCTCACTAGCTCTGTGTACACAATCATATAAAATAATGTTTATTGAAATGAATTCAAAGAAATGGAAACAAAAGGTTTTTCATTTTACTTTTTGTATCTTTTATTTCTGTACTTTTTGTCTTGTATGTAAGTTTATCTGTTTGGGGGAGGGGAAGGGAAGCATAGAAAGGATAGGACAGAGGGTGAACTAATTCATCGGTGATACTCACTAGATACTATGTTGAAAATGAACTTGTGGGGGAAGGGAGTTGGGAGGGAAAAAACTGGGAGAAAATAAGGGAAGAGGTGACACTATTCATTAAAAATTAATATTCCTTAAATAATGATTTAACCTGTTTTATTATTTAAGTAAGAGATTGGCTTTATGGTCTTCAAATTATTTACACTTATTTCATTAATAGTGTGCTGAGCTTTTAGATATAAAATGCACAGTTTAGTGATAATTTTTAATAAATTACAGAAAAGTACATATCCCACTCCACGTCATTTTAAGAAAAAAATGACACATCATGACTCTTGGTACTCAAAAGTGAAACTATTAACAACATATATACCTACTATTACTTGTTAAGTTTATAGCCTTTTCTCAAAGAAAACAAAGTATTATTCTATGACCAAAACAACCACATTATAGCATAATCCTTTACTAATATACTACTACATTCCTTTAGAAACTAGAAAATAGTAAAATTGTTAGATCTAATTCTATTCAAAATAAACTGAGAGCCAGGCACCAGAGGCTTAAATCTATACTCCTAGCTACTCAGGAGACTGAGTCCTGAAGGATTTTATGGTTTGAAGCCAGCCTAGGCATCAAATAGCCAAATAACCAACAAAATGCCAAACTGGAGTTACAGTTCAAGTGGTAGAACACCAGTCATGACCCAGAAAGATGAGTGGGGACACTGAGTTCAAGCCCCAGCACCAAAAGAAAAAACACACAAAAAACTGATGTTAATTTATACAATCATTTTTCAATATTGTGATTCTAAACAACTCTACACTTAGGAAAAAGAAACCTTAAAATGTTGTATACTGATTCACCCAGATATAGAAACAAGAACAGTACACATTTAACATTCTTCACAGCTGAAAAGGCCACATTCATTTTCTTTTTTTTTTTCTTTTTTGGTCGGTCATGGGGCTTGGACTCTGGGCTTGGGCCCTGTCCCTGCGCTCTTCAGCTCAAGGTGAGCACTCTACCGCTTGAGCCACAGCTCCACTTCCGGTTTCCTAGTGGTTTATTGGAGATAAGAGTCTCACGCACTTTCCTGCCTGGGCTGGCTTTGAACCAAGATCCTCAGATCTCAGCCTCCTGAGTAGCTAGGATTACAGGCATGAGCCACGGGCGCCTGGCTGCCATATTCATTTTCTGTGTATGAATTACTTATGCACAAAAAGGGATAAAGCAGCCTGTGATATATATTTGAGGTTTTTGTTGTTTATTGGGTTTGGGTTTTGCTGTTCCTGGTGCTTGAACGCAGAGCCTGGGCATTGTCTCTGAGCTTTTGTGTTCCCAACTAGTTAGTGGTCTACCACTCTAAGCCACAGTGCCATTTCTGGTTCTGTTTGTTTGTTGTTTTGGTAGTTAACTGGAGAAAAGAGTCTCAGGGCTGGCTTGGAACCCCAATGCTCAGATCTCTCAGCCTCTTGAGTAACTAGGATTCAGGCTTCAGCCACAGACATTTGGCTATGTTTGAGATTTTTAACTAGAGTTACATTAAAAATATTTTCCAATCTTGATGCAATGTAACTGAGAATATTTTCTGCAGAATCTAATAAAGGAAATTATTTTAGCTGATTATAAGGCCCTTATAATTCAAAATGAATTTTACATGAATTATGTACCTCACAAGACAATCTTGAGGTAGGTGTTCCACTCTGCACCAGCAACAACTTCAGAGAAGGTAGATATTCTGTCCAAGGAGAAACAGATACACAATGGAAAAATCAGAACTACATATCAGACCTCATATTATCCAGTACAAGAGAAATGTATTAACATACAGACCTCTATTGTCACATCAAATTTTTTAAAACTGCTTCCCAAATACTATTATACAGAAGACATTCAGTTGGTCAAAGAAAACTATCAGGCAATGATGATCACTGATCACTTACTAAATGTGTAATTACATAATCATAATAAATAGTCCTGTCTTTAAAAATCGGAAGCTCATCAAGAACTCAGTCACATTTGATAGCAACAGTCTTTGAAAGATTAAAGGTATGTCCCACATTTTCATTCTCTTCATAGTAGGCTTTTTCCCACCTTAAGGATCTTACTCCCAACTTAAAAATGGAAGACAAAAATGTATTTAAAACCCCATTTCCTTCTTACTAATCTAGAAAAGATAATTTTTAATGAGAATGCAAAAGTATACACACAGAAAAATCTAAGCCTGAAATTAAATTTTTTTCAATATATTTTCTGATTACCTTATAAATTACTCCTGACATTTTTGGAAGTTTAGACCATATGTTTAACTAGAAAATTACCTGAATTCATTTTGGGCTACAATCATATTCATTAGCCACTTTAAGTCAGCTAAAAGCACTCCACCACCATAATACAAAAAAACTATGGAAAAATACTCAAGCAGTATTTTTTTTCTCAATTCTAACAATTACTTTCCTTCACCTTACCACGACGAAAAGCCCGATCAAATTGGAATTCAAAGATGCCCACTGAGCTATTCAGGAATTCAACACACTGGATTGCAGGAAGCTTAGAAACTTAAATACCAATAATTATATTTGGAACATAACCGCTAAAGTCTCTTTAAAAAGGGGTGGGGTGGGGGTGAGGTAGAGATATGGTGGTTTCTCGAAACTCTTAAATTACCAAGCATGCCCAGATTCTACAAATAAACCGTGAAAACCCAAGTTTAAATATAAAAAACACAACAAACCCAGCCAATTCCCGGGGCACCCGGCGTGGCTGCACGTCTCATCCCCGTGGACACCACAGCTGGCGGCCTCAGGGCCAGACGGGCGGCCCTGAGGTCCCCACACGACTCTTATTAGAAAATAATTAATAGTACTAACAATAATGACAACACCCCAGCAAACTCCGTGTTCGTTACAGTTCCCCAGGGACACCCGCAGCGCAAAAGACACGCGTGTCCCAGAAAAGGGGGCTCCCTCCCTGCCTTTGTTCCCTGGGTACCGAAGGAGAGGGTCGCCGGCCCGAGGGGCACGGAAAGGGGAGACATGGCGGGGGAGTGGGGGGGGGACAGCGGGGATCCC